CAGTGGTTGCTAACAAGTAAACTTGTATTGGTCAGGTCGTTCGCGGCAAAGGACGACATCTTCTGCCTGTTCGAGGGGGTGCTGGACAACCTGGGGCGGCTGAGCCAGCAGTACGGGCTGTCCAAGGGCGCCAACGAGGTGGTCCTCGTCATCGAGGCCTACAAGACGCTCCGGGACCGGGCGCCATACCCGGCCAGCTTCATGCTCTCCCAGCTCACCGGCAGCTATGCCTTCGTTCTCTTCGACAAGTCCACCAACTCCGTGCTCGTCGCATCCGTATGCTGCCTACTCATAGTCCTAGCTGCTGTTTCTAATTTCTATCCGTCAATGGTGACTTGGTTCTCTGCTCTCAGGATCCCGAGGGCAAGGTGCCGCTCTTCTGGGGGATCACTGCAGATGGCTGCGTCGCCTTCTCTGACGACATTGACATGCTCAAAGGATCATGTGGCAAGTCACTTGCACCTTTCCCACAAGGTAATGCGAGCCCATCAAGCGATGTCAGATCATGTCCTCACTGCTAATATGCTGCCAACCACCCAGTCAATTAATTATTTTGTTTCTTTCTTAAAAGAAAAAAGAATCTCTGAAAATGTTTCAACCACTGCTGAATACATTCTGAAGATTATATGCTCTCTGTACAACATTCAAAGAGTCTTCGTAATTAGTCATTTTCACTAATCCCATCATGCTGTCTGCAGGTTGCTTCTACTCTAACGCTCTTGGAGGCTTGAAGTGCTATGAGAACCCCAAGAACAAGGTGACTGCTGTTCCTGCAAACGAAGAGGAAATCTGTGGTGCAACTTTCAAGGTAAAAATAAAATGGTTTGTTATGCCTTGAAGAAGGGCCTGGTGCATGCGGTAGAGTCTTACCGTCTGTGACCGGAAGGTCCCGGGTTCGAGTCGCGGTCTCCTCGCATTGCACAGGCGAGGGTAAGGCTTGCCACTAACACCCTTCCCCAGACCCCGCACAGAGCGGGAGCTCTCTGCACTGGGTACGCCCTTTATGCCTTGAAGAAGAATTCAGTTTCATGTAGTTCGTCAGAGCTGCATCAGTCAGTTGTTTTCCTTTCAGTTTTTTTATCTGAAACTCTGGTAACAATTTTCTCCGGATGATGCTCTATTAACCCACATGAACCTCTCTGCAGGTGGAAGGCTCTGCAGTCCTCACAGCACTGTAATTTTTGGTGGAGATGTTGGTGTGGATGAGGGGCATTGCAAAACTCTGTACATGGTTGGTGTAACATAATGGCTCCCGTAAATAAGAGAAGTACTGCCAACGTGGCAAGAACTCCATGTTCATCAGTGTTGTTGGTTGTGTGTGTATGTGCTGTATCCCTAGTTGTTCAACTTGCATGGAACCTGAGAGTTGAGACCAGGTGCTGCTAATCGATCAGTGTTGCATGGATGAAGTTGTGTATCTGCAGCAAATAATGAAGCTTTTACTTGTCCATCTTCATTGTCATCGTTAGCTACGCATTAATCCATCTTCTACAGGAAAAAAGACTAGTACTATTGGACCAACATGTTGTCACCCAACAGCCGTGTTCTGACTTGGCCCATGAACAGCCCAGTTAAGCGGACCGGGCCGCCTTGTACTCCACGCTGGGCTGGGCTAGTGGTGGTTGTGGGCCGGGCAGCTTGTGATTTTGAGATTACAGAATCCTGAGTTGCAGCGACGGCCTTGTACTCCACGTCTGAAACTCTGAATCCATCCTACATCCTTTTGAAAGATCAACTTTGTGCTGTTCTTGTTCCTGCAGCTTGGTGCTGTAGACGTTTTTTTTTTGAAAAATATGCGTGGGAGACGTTGACAATTGACACCAAGCGCACATGTACGGAAGAGAGTTGTGTGCTTGGTTGATTGCTTGTGCTCGTGTGCAGTGCAGGCATGCATGCAGGCTGCCTGGTAGCCTGATAGGGTTAGGGTATGGGCGCACCGCGGCACCCGAGGCAGCACTGCATGCATCCCATTCCCAGGAGCACTAGATGAGAGCAGATGCCATGTGAGTATGTGACCCTTGTCCTCCCTTCCTCAAATTCCCCCAGCAGCCAGTCAAGAATTCCTTGCTTTCCCACGAACACCAACAGCAAGGCCGGCCGTCCCGTCCGGCTCCATGTTTTCGTGGATTTGGTGGAGAGAGCTGAAGAAATATAGAGTTGGTGGAGTGGAGCTATTTTTTCTGAAGCCGAGGAGTCCCAAAGAGGAATACATGCATGCACATCGTTATACCGATCGTTTCCATAATCAGGAATGCATCCATGCACATCAAGACAATTGACAACCTCGGCTCAGAATAGTCACCGCAGTTGCCCCACCATCCATTCATTCTTCCCATGGATCCAAACGGGGCCGACCACCATCCTCCCAGGCTCCCAGCAACTCCATTCCATATTTCCATTCAGATAGCCACACTACCTAGAGGCCTAAACATGGCTTTGAAGCAATCAACAACAACCCTGCCTCTGCAAATGATTCATTCAGTGTAACAATGGCCCCGATCGAGCTTGTTTTCTTTTGACCTAGCTAGCTATGGTTTTGCTTTCGCCATCACTTGCCCCACTTTAGGCTTCTGAATGGCTTTGGAGAAAGCAATCTCTGCTTGGACAAGACTCAGAGAGCCTTATAAAAGGAGCAGCCTTGCACATTTCCTTCGGAGCTCATGATGGCAGCCAAGTTTTCGGCCTAACAAGCAACAACCCAGAGTCTTGTTCTTGGAGTTGAGGATGCTAATCCACGGCACGGAACGGCATGCTGCAAGTAACCTAACCCGAGGAGGACACGATCATTGCCGTTTCTCTTGATCCTAGCGGGCCCCGGTGCCCTGATGTCCGTACACCATGCGCGGTTGCAGTAAACGTCCACTCTGCAGACATACTTAAGTCGATCCATTATCATGGGCCCCGTTTAGATCTAAAAAATTTTGGATTTTGGTTTACTGTAGCATTTCGTTTGTATTTGGTAATTAGTGTCTAATTATGGACTAATTAGATTCAAAAGTTTCGTCTCGCGATTTCTCACCTAACTATGTAATTAGTTTTTTCCGTCTACATTTAGTACTCCATGCATATGCCGCAAGATTTGATATGACGAATACTACGTAAGATTTTTGAAATCTAAACAGCCCTAAACAAATGGTAACCTCTCTCGTCTCGTCTCATGAGGTGAGGCTGTGTGGTAAAAGTTCAGAGCTGCGACTTTCAGAGCCTGTGTTTCTCTGCTGCAAAGGTTTTTACTGGGGGTAGTTGGACTGGGATGGATCAATCAATTATCACTGGGAATATGGCATGGGAGGGACCGACCATGCTGTCTTGTTGTGTACTCCCTCCGTCCCATTGAGTTTGTCGCTCGGGAAGCGGGATTGTGAGGGGGGCACGGTTTTCAAACGACAAACTCAATAGGACGGAGGGAGTATCTACAGGCTACAGTGGAGGAGGTGGTTATTGTATTCATAGGATTGAAATCCCATCCTAGCGTCAGCCAACAGCAAACCTGGATGTGTGCAGCTGCTACTACTAGGGCCTTGTTTAGATCACCTCTAAATTCTAAGTTTTTTCACTTTCTTCATCACATCAATTTTTGGACGTATGTATGGAGCATTATATATAGGTAAAAAAAAACTAATTATACAGTTTAGTTGTAAATCACGAGATGAATCTTTTAAGCCTAGTTAGTTCATGATCGAACAAATTTTATCAAATACAAACAAAACGTACTACAGTGTCCAAGTTACAAAAATTTACAATCTAAACAAGGTCTAAGAGACAGCAGCCCTTACCTTACCCCATCAATAATGCAAGTGCAGGGTGCAGGAAAAAACAAAGCCTCCAGTTCTCCATCGGAACCTTCATGATCGTGTCCCCCCTCCGTTGCTGCCACCACCATCATCTCACCAAGCAAAGATTAAGGGGGTGTTTGGTTTCAGGGACTAATTTTTAGTCCCTGTCACATCGGATGTTTGGACACTAATTTGGAGTATTAAATATATTCTAATTACAAAACTAATTACACAGATGGAGACTAATTTACGAGACGAATCTATTAAGCCTAATTAATCCATCATTAGAGTATATTTACTGTAGCACCACATTGTCAAATCATGCACTAATTAGGCTTAATAGATTCGTCTCGCAAATTAGTCTCCATCTATGTAATTAGTTTTGTAATTAAAATATATTTAATACTCCAAATTAGTGTCAAACATCCGATGTGACATGGATTAAAAAATAGTCCCTGGAACCAAACACCCCCTAAAAAGGAGGCACTAGAGTTGACAACATTCCACAGGCATGTCAAAGATATGCAGGTCGGGCATTCATTCATGTATCCAAACTTCCAAAGCACAGGAATGGCGCATTGGGTTAGCCCTCGTTTAGTTCCACCCTAACTTTCAAAAAGTTGCTATAATACCTGTCACATCGAATGTTTGCGGCCCGTGCATGAATCATTAAATATAGACGAAAAGAAAAACTAATTGCACAGTTTGGTGAGAAATTGCGAGACGAACGTTTTGAGCCTAATTAGTTCATGTTTGAACACTATTTACTAAATAAAAACGAACTGCTACAGTAGCCCTAAAATTCAAATTTCTCCAACTAAACAAGGGCTTAACCTTGTTTTTGCACATTCTTCTACCATCACATTATGGAGCGAGAAGGGAAGCCATCAGCATCACCTTCTTGAGCTACTGTAAAGCACAATCCATCTCTTATGACCACTATTGATAATTACTATACCTACCTTCCACTTCAAGGAAGTTCCTCTTCTTCTTTTTTTGTTCAAAGGATGAAAAAGGTGAAAATAAGCTAGAAAAGGAAAAAAAGAAATGGGAAAAAAGAAAAAGGGGGCGATTCTAGCTAGCTGGTGCTAGTTTCTCATGTATACTGACTGACTGATCCAGTCCAGGTTGTTATTTCGACCACCTGTGACATGCGCTCCCCTTTGGTTCACTTTGTCCGCAGCATCAGCAGGAGAAAGCTTGTCAGGCGGCGGCGACGTCGCCTCACATCACCGAGTCGCTGAACATGTTGTCATGCGGGTGCGGCGCAGGGTAGTACATCGGCGGTGGGTACGGCATCGCCGGGCGGCCGTACCCCATCGGCGGGTATCCGGCGCCGCCATGGGCATGGTGGCCGTGGTGCCCGTGAGGGCCATGGCCATTCATCATCATCTGCAGCTGTTGTTGTTGCGGCATCATGGACTTGTACGCCTGCTGCGCCATGGGGTTCCCGCCCGCCTTCATCGTCTCCGGCCCGGACGGCATGCCGCCGCCGCCAGCGCCGCCCGGGTAGAAACCAGCCCCAGGCATCATGGCGCCGGCCGGCATGCCATGCACGGCGGCGCCGCCACCTCCCGGCTGCATGCCATTGCCACCCATGTGGGGGTGGTCCATCGGCATGCCGCCCATGGGCCCGGCGCCCATCTGGCCCATACCGGGGAAACCGGCGCCGCCCATCATGTTCGGCGGCCTCATCATCATGCCCGGCTGCTGCTGCGGCGGCGGCATGCCGCCCATCATCGGAGCGCCGACGCCGGCGGGCGGGCCACCTGCGCCGCCGCCCTTCTTGGCCTGGCCAGGCTGGTTCCTACCGCCCGGGGCGCCGCCCTTGCCGTTCTGCGGCGGCTGCGCACCGCCACCGTTCTTGCCGTTGCCGCCTTCGCCACCCTGGTTCTGCTTTGCGCCAGAGTCCTTCTTGCCGCCATTGTTGGCGTTCCCCTTGATCTGGACCGGAATCTCGTTCCCGCCGCCACCCTTCTTGCCGCCGCCGCCGTTGGCACCCTTCTTGTCGCCCCCGCCGTTGCCCATCGGCATTGCCATGGGCTTTGCCACCATCTTTGGGTCGTCGTACAAGTCGTCGTCGAGGCCGTCGTCCTCGAAATCCTCGTCGTCGAAGTCGTCATCGAACTCGCTGCCGTCGTCCCCGAACTCGTCGTCCACGGGAACGTTGAACTTGACGGCCTTGGGGTCCTTCGCCGGCGGCGCGGCCGCCGCCGGGAACGGCATCTTGCCACCCAGGGCCATGAGCTGGGGAGGAAGCTTCATCCCCTTCATCTGCATCTGCTGTTGCAGCATCTGCAGTTGCTGAAGCTGCTGCGGAGTCACCTGTGACATCGCCAGCGGCTTTGCGCCTTTCGCGCCACCGCCGCCTCCACCGCCGGCGTTTCCGGCACCCACTCCACCCTTGGGCTGGCCCTTGCCGCCAGCATCCTTCGGTTGCTGGCCCTTGCCGCCGGCGCCGGCGCCGCCGAGCTGGAGCTTTTGGACCTGGCTTACCACACCAGGCTTGGCGCCCCACAGGTTGGCGGGCTTGCCGGCCCTGTTCAGCTTCTTGATGACGGTGGCCGGATACATCAGGCCGGACACCGTCACCTTCCCCTGCTCTGCATCTACACTGCTCTGGTAGACACCTGCAGTTTAATCAAAATCCAACACATTTTTCTTAGGCTATGTTTAGTTCGTGAATTTTAAGGATTTGACTACTGTTTTTGTTTTTATTTGATAATTAGTGTTCAATCATGAACTGATGAGGCTCAAAACGTTCGTCTCGTAATTCTCTATCAAACTGTGCAATTAGTTTTTTTTTATCTACATTTAATGCTCCATGCATGTATCGTAAGATTCGATGTGATGACTACTATAGCACTTTTTGAGAATTTGGTTGGGAACTAAAGGCCTTAGGACAGGTGAACTATCCATCGTTTCTGTTGAGGAGAAGAATAAAGTATCGCTGAACAGACCCTTGCGAACACAACAAGATGGGGGAGAAAATTAACGAATTTTAGTCTTAAAAAATCTTTCTTTCTTACCATCAATCTTGTGCAGGATCTTCTTGACCTTCTTCTCGCACCCATCGCAGTGGATGTTAACTCTCAGCACGCAGGTCTGTCGACAATAGGGGGGAAAGGAGAAAAGGTTACGGAATAGAAGATTAACGGCCGCAGCACACATGCAGAGTGAGAGAAATCAAGCTGGCGGTGTGATCAAAACCCCAGCAGACACAAGAATGAATTACTTCAAAAAAACACCACACATGAAGGAAAAATATGGAATGGGTGTGTGAGCTGCTTGAGTTGAGAAGATGCAAAACAAACTCACCTGCACCTTGAGGACGTCCTCCTTGCTCATCCTGACCACCTCAAATGCTGCAGCCTCCAATCGCACAAGAGGCTTCAGATCTGGTATATGAGAGCACTCATATCAGGGAGAGAAGACCAAGAACGCAGCAGCAACCGGGAAACACTTCTCACCTCTCAGAGAGAGAGAGAGGATGCCTTCTCGCGAGAGGACTTATAAATGGCTGCAGTAAAATACTGTGGCTTCACACTCTCACACAAAGAATAAAATCTAGAGAGAAATCAGACCCTTGTTAGGACCCGTTTGGGAGGGCTCCACGAGCGGCTCTGGCTCCGGCTCCTGCCGAAGCCCTGACAAACGGGTGACGGGAAGAACGGCTCCGCTGCCAAAGCCTGCCAGAGCCGGAGCCCTTTTTCTATTGCGCAGACTGAGCCACAAAACCAAGCTCCTCCTGGCTCCTCCTTCCTCGGGGCATGAAAGGACGCGGTGGCCCTTCTGCTTGAGCGCGTAGCAGCCAGGCCAACCGGTTTCCTTGCGTACGCGTGCTTTGCCTTACGTAAAGAAGAGGAGGACCCTGTAGCAACTATTAGCTTCTCAGGTTCAAAATCGCTTGGTACTAGTAAAATATGTAATAAATCACAAAAATATAAATAAAATGTAAAACCAAGTTAAAGCAAGGGCAATATGGGCATTCACCCTCTTCCATCCATTCTACAAAAACAGAAGAAGCCGTTTTGCCAAACGTTTTCTAGAACGGCTTCAACTCCTCCAAAGGAGCTGCTCCTTCAGAGGAGCCAGAGCTGGAGCCATTTTCAGAGTAGCCAGAGCCCTGCCAAACAGGCTTAGAGTTTGCGCTTGGAGAAAACCATGAGCAAGCAAGGCTATTAAGCGCCTGCTTTGTGGTCCAGAGAAAAAGATGGAGGCAGGAGGAGGAAGACTAGAGAAGAGACTCCCTCTCCGGCTCTCCCCCCCTATTTCTGTCTACCAACAAAGCTAAGCACATGGAGGAGTCTCTGCTTACCCATTTTGTTTTCCCTGAGGTCGCCTTTGGCCCTGGATGGAAGCTGGAGCCTTTGCCTTTCTTCGGGCTCCTTTGGTAGGGCTCCGGCTCCGGCTCCGCACGCTTGCTAGAGCATGGAGGAGCCGGAGCCGCACCAAACGGCACGGAGCGTGGAGCCGCTTTTGGGCACGTTTAGGAGGAGCCGGAGCCGTTTTAGGCTTGCATGGCGGAGCCAAACAAAAAGTGACTCCGAGGCTGTGGCTCCGGCTCCGCACGCGGAGCCCCCGCGAGGAGTCCTGCCAAAGGAGCCCGACTTCGAAAGATTGAGAAATGGTGTTCTGCAAAAGACTAGCCCAAGGTGGATTTAAATAGCCTTTGTGACTACAGTAGTCAGGAAGTACAGAAAGTCCTAGGCTTCCCAATGTCAGTTTTCCTATGTTTTCTTTATCAGAATTCTAATTTTCTATACAAGTCCCTATGTGTCTTCCAACCGGCTAGTATTTTTTTTTGGCTCTGATAACAACTGCTTCACAGGGAATATTCCGTTAAGCATATAACACTATTTATCCAAATGGTTCGATCGAATAACTGCAACGACTATCATTTTCACTCTGAAGAAAAAACTGAAGCATTCGAGTTGTTGCTTGTTAAAATTCTAACACACAAGCTAAGCTATGAATGGTGGGTTTGTTTTAAGCTAAACAAGAAAATTGTGTCAATACCATTACGCAAAGTGAGCACAAGTTATAGCCATTTCTGTCTAACGTAAGGAATCATGCAATGTTGTTACATGTTTCCATTCAAAACCTTACATCTTGCATGAAAAAAAATGCGACATAATGATTCTACTATGTTGCAACGTGTTTCATGAGACACATGTAACAAAAATGTAACGTAGTCAACTTTGATCGGCTCGATGCATTTTCGTATTCACCTCACTATGTTACTAATCCTATTTAATGAGAGCACGTGATGTCGACACAATGATTTTGCATGGGCGGAGCAGTGCATTGTATCCGCACATACACGCCAGATATACAAGATATATGTTTAGCAAAGTTGCTAAAATTGGCGAAACAACGTTACATGCCCCACTATAGTTGGCATACGACAACAACCGGTCAAAGGCATAAGTATGAGTGACATAGTTGTTACGCCTAATCATTCCGAAGAATTATTTTCTCTCATACATGACAAGCGTGGTCAACGACGTGGGGATTTGCCAATTCACATTGCAAATAAATACACAAAAAGTTTCACAAACTATACAACTCAAGTCCAAGGAGAATAGTTCTGAAAGAGAAGTAGACGAGTATTTTATCATGGTGCATGGAAATATTTTGGAAAAGATATACAAACATTTATACCATGCCATATTTTCCAAGCGTCGTTACCCAGACTTCTTCCGTCAATCAAGTTTTTTTCCCAACCATATTCATTGAATGGTTAACCAAAGAACTTGCTTGAAAATAATCTTGTAAAGACGGGCGTGGATGTCAAAAATTGGAGAATGGATACTCAATGACATAGGTCTTAGTAATTAGCTAAGGTCCATGCATCTCTAACTACCATCGTCCTCTTGTGTCACTAGAGACACGTTGGCGTCACTAGAGAGACGCAATGGTGTGGTGCTGTGGTAGACTGCGCGAGCGGCGCAACCCATAAGCCACAGCCCCTGTCCAGCCATGCAGACCTCACACCATCCGTTGCAGCCCGCGGGTGCACGGTCTGCATGCCTTGTGTATCAGTTAGCGAGTCAAAGGTGGGTGGTGCGTTGGGCGCATTAACTTCTCACCCCTTAATGCGTTTTGGAATTTAAGCTGCTGCCTAAAAACATTGTTCTTCTTTTTTTTGTGTTAGTCTGTTAATGTCTTTTGCTAGCAGCAGTAATTCTTTTTCAACAACTTCTAAAATTTGCTAGCCTTTTTCTCTGTTAGTTTGTTAATGTCAGTAATTCTTGTCCTACTCATAAAATTTGTTCTCTTTTTGGTTAGTCTGTTAGAGCAAGTACATTGCTACAACTCAGCAGTATCATAAGTCGTATCATGTAGTGCCACGTAAGATTTTTGCTGACGTGGAGGAGAGAGGGCAAGGAGAGAGAATGAGGCCGTTGTTTCGCAAAACAACCACCTCATAAGCATAATTTTAGGACTCCTCCTCCGGTGTACAGTTGTGGTTACTATGCAACTTATAGTATTTCTATTTTTATGTGTACAAATTAAGGAAACAAAATTACTACGAGACAACTTAAAAAGACAACCCATTGTAAGGTTGTTTATTAAATTATCTCAAGATTAGTTTTATTCTTCGGCTAAACATCTCATACTCTATTTATCCTTCACCTCACACAAAGAAAAGTGGACCGGAACGGCCAAGCCATGGCACTACTGACACCATGGTGGTTGTGTCCAGGACTCCAGGTTCATGCCAGTACATGCATGCAACGTCAGTTTTGAATTTTTGATCAGCTCGTCCGCGAGGACTATTTTGGTTTTTCCGGTGACAGCCGGTGCAAGGCAGGAATAAAGATGGCAACGGGATGTACCCGTCGGGTATTGTCGGAACGTTCTCTTCCCCGCTACGGAGAATCCATCTCGTTCCTGTCCCCATTAACTGTCTCGGGTATAGATTCTTGCCCATCCCCGTACCCGTCGGACATCGGTCGGGTAACAGATACCCGACGGGTACTGCATACCCGATAAACAAGGACACTTGGGGTCGTAGCTTTGCAATCGGAGACGTTTCTTCTTCACCCGGGTATAAGTGTCGGAGTCTCGGAGATGCCGAGGACAAAGAGCGAGGTTGCGAGGAGGATGAGCAAAGGTGGCAGAGAGACCGAACTGAGGAAGCGGGGGGCACGAGCGCTCGTGAGGCAGGCGTGCTTGTGCTGCTGGCGGAGATGGTGAGGAAAAATTGAACTAGGGTTCCTAGAACACAAAAACTATATATATGATTGTTCAGATTTTGGCCAAAATACCTATGTTGAGCTTTTTTTTGGGCCTAATACTCGCATGACAGCTTAAATAGTCGGGTTCCTCAACGGGTAACGGGGACGGATAAACAGGGAACGTTCCCGTACCCCTATACCCGTCGGGGATGGATTCTTGCCCATTTAGATGCCCGCGGATAAAGATATGATCCCATCCCCATCCTCTAATGAATCAAATATCCGTCGGATATCGGGCCGTTGCCATCTTTAGGCAGAAAAGGATTTGTGACCTTTTGTGCGTCACTGTCGCAGGCCCAGTTTATTGTGCGCTCAACTGTGAGCGTGGACTTGGTTGGCTTTCGCCGACGAGCGCAGGCACAGAAGATCTCCTCGATCAGTGAAACGAACACAACACATACGCGTCACTGCTGCTTGCAATTATAAGTGTTGCTTGTCATATTATAAAGAAAAGATATGTTTTATGGAAGAAATTAATTCATATATTAAAAAAACATAGGTTTACATAGTAGTGCTAATAGGAGCATATCTTTGTAGACTTGGCATTTGATTCATGCCAAATATCTACGAAGATTTTGCAAACTGAACCACCCCATTGGATTTTTTTCCCTCTGCAGTCCACTGCTTCCGCTAGAGATAGACATGCATGATCAGTGGTCTGCTATAGCTAGACTGATGTCTTTGCAAGCCAAACCACCACCACATTGGATTTTGTTTTTTTTGTTTTTTCTGTACCAGGCCCACGCTGCAGAGAATCTGCGTTTGTGGCCATATGTCAGGGTGTTGGGCTGGTACTGGGCCTACTGACTGCTACCCACTGCTAGTTTGCAATAAATTGGTTGGACGTATTTGCATGTTTGGTTGCAGATCTGAGTGAGGTCCAGGCTCTGGCTTTTGTATTCCCCCTCGAGAGATTGGTGATGGGCCATCCAAAGCTACAGTGAAAAGAGAGATTGGGGGCCCAGCAGCGTGTGGGGGCAATGTGGGCTTGGAGCATTGTGGGCCGGCCATCTGGTCCAACACCCAAACTTTGAGCAACGAACGCAGCATGCGTTTGGGTTGTGTTGGTGTACCTGCAATTGCAGATGGACGCCGCAGAAGCATCACCACCTGCTACTTCCGACGGGCCATGGCAAGGCTACCGCCGGGTGGCTACCCACCACCCGGTGGTCGTCGATGGCCGGACGTACATGGTCGAGGAGACTAGCTTCGAGCCGGAATCAGACGACGTGGAGGAGGAGAGGCTCTCCCGCCTGATGCTCCCCTACCTGACCTCCCGTCCTGATTCTCCTGAATCCAACCGCAGCGTCAATGGTGCTCGAGTCGCCGCCTCCAGCGACGCCATCCTGGGCCTGCAGGACGCGGGGATCAGGATGCCGGCGGAGTGCGCCGTGTGCCTGCAGGATTTCGTGGCAGAGGACAGGCTCAGGGCCATGCCCTGCTCCCACACCTTCCATCGACAAGTGCAGGTCACAGTTTGATCTGTATTGAGATTTAGCAGATCATGCCTACATCTGACTGTAACCACAGAACAGGGGAGCAGCAGCAAGAACAAACCAAGTATCTGAGCTTTGCAGTGTAGAAAATGACAAGGCTGGATTACAGTAATCAGACAGCTGAACCGCTTGGGGCTTCATGCTAGTTGCGTGACATAAGCTCCTCCAAGCTTCTAACTTGGCTGGGGCAGGGAGGCCTGCATTGGCGCGAGCAGGGATGTCGGTGAGGTGGCCTCAGTGGGTGACAAACATGAAGGTAGTCTCCTTAAAGCTGAGGTAGTTGATGCCCTTGGCGATAGGTCCACCATTTCCAGAGCCTGCATTCTGAGCTCCATTGGGTAGTCCTTGACACATCCAATTCTTGGACCAGCCCCAGTGCTCCATTTGAGGGACAGCCTGTGGCCAAGCTGATAGGACTTGGACTCGCCCTTTGATTTCATCCTCTCAAGAATTGCCTTCTGCGGGACACCAGTGGCTCTGGGGCTTTGAAGACCACCTGACAAGGTTCTTCGGTAGGTTGGCTTGGCTTGTTCTGCAGTAGCATTCTCGCCTTCATCGCATTCGGTCATGCTTGGAATGGAGATCACTTCTGGAGGAACTGATCCCATGGATTCAGCAGTAAGGTTCTGTGAACCATCAAGCACTGGATCTTCATTGTAGTCTTCTCTGGTGGATGAGCGCACCTGAATGGCCAAAAGCAAGCACACGAAATGAATTCATATGCAATCATAAAAAAAAAATCTGCAATTTGGTGAGACAAGCATATTTTAGCTTGTGAATAGTTAAACGACTTACCTCAACTTCTTTGAGATCAACTCCATTCTCTTCAAGGAAGTTCATGAAATTGCTGAGGTTCTCTGCGCTTGGTTTGTAGTGACCACTATAGGCCCAGATGGACTTCATCAGAAAAGAAGAGAACAAATTAGCAGAATGCAAAGAAAGTACATGAACCAGACGTAACCAAAGTATACACATTATCCAGATGATAGAACGATGAAATACAGTCATAACATGCTCTTGAAAGATAAGCGAAATAATAAAATGATGAAAGAGCCCATTAACTTGCAGTTGCTGGATCAAGATAAGTAGATATTATATTTACATGTGTACTAGACAGATATAGATTCAGAATCTACAGTTCCACTACATTACCTCCAAAAGTTGCGGGAAAATATTTAATGAATATATACCTGTTTATATTTTGTATATGTCCTCCAAAAAATATTTTATTAATGTTTATTAATGGCAGCATATGGAACAGAAAATAATGATTGGACGGACCATGCACATTGAATAATTCATCAACTCCAGGACACCGATAGAACTTTTTGGTCAGAGGTGCTGAATTAAAGGATAGGCGATAGCACATGCAGGAATTTAAATAAAATAAAATACTGTGATCACATCCTAACATTTAATAGGGTATGGTTGCTCAAAGATACCTTGATAATTCCATTTTCTGCTGTAAATCTTCCAGCAGCTATGGTAGTGCCTCCTGCTAAAAAGCTGGAATGCTGGAATACACCTCTCTCTTTCTGGATGGATAGAAAAAGATTTAGTGGTGCTAAACATAATGTAACAAAATAAGACATAAGATATATTATTGTTCAGCAGAAATGCAAGTGCAAAGACCTTGTAAGAGTAGAAAAGTTACCTTCCCAGCATAGAGTCTTTTTGCTGTGCTCATAACAAAAATCCATTTAGTCCCTTTAGGATTCTGGCTTGTATCAAGTGGTTGTCCAGACTGTTTATGGATAATCTTTCCCTCATTAATTATGTATTCATAGTTCTCACGCTCTTGCTGCAAGACACTGGGTAATTGTTAGAGCTCGGAGCCATGTGGGAGGTTTCGCAGCAAGAAAATGATGAGTTTGTTAAAAGAAATTCCTTTTGCTGTTCTTGAACATGTATAGTATTTTAAAATCAATGGTACTTCTGTTAATGGTCATGATTCATGGTTTAAGTGAATAATAGTATGGATAGAAGCAGGAATATGCTGGTCTCTATTAATGTTTGGAATGATAATTCAGGCCTGAGGCCACATCGAATGCAGTTCATATATGCAGCAAACTGACTGATAGTAATAGCAGTAATGTTCAATATGTGTTTCGATTTGAGAAAATATTTATTACTAGTCAAACTTGAGGGAAAATGATGTTGTAGTACAAAGATAGTAACATATAATTTTCTTAAAAAAAGATGAATCGCAAAAAATTTCACGAGGTCAACACGAATTATGTGGGTGAAGGTAGCCAAGCAATCATACAGGTACAGCTCTTCACATATGCCTTGAGGGAAGGATATATGGCACAAGTTCTAGATAAAGATAGGCAGCCATTGCAGAACATTTCTTACCGGACCAAGATACTTAATGCATTGCTTTTTTAGCTTTGCTCTTGGACATTCTGGAAGGTCTAGATCCTTTCCCTCTCCAACATCAAGCCTATATATAACAAACAAACACTTAAATTGTCATGCAATAAAACTAATAACTGGGATTTCTGGTATTAACAGAGATTCAACCCACAGGCCACAACTAAAATATCTGGTATGAGCACGCACTCAAATATGTTCATCTCTCTCCCATGTACTATGCAGATTGCCCTACTTTGTTCGAACAAGATAATCTGCAAATGTAACTATGCAAATTGCAGCAAAGTTCTTACCAGTAGAAGAAGGGCTGGCCGGCCTGGCTTTGACACCAGACATCGTAGTAGAAGTGCAGATTGTGCCCATATCTATGCCGCGGGTCGATCTATACAAGAAGAGATGAATATTGCTATAAGGCATTGCATCAGAGTGTTGGAAACAATAGTCTCTATCACTCTATGAGGAGATGGGCATGACTTGTATGACGTCAATGGTGGGCCTTTTTATGATCAATGTTCACACATGACTAAAACTCTTAGGTCAAATGATACAGAAAGTAGCCTAGCCTCTTTTCAGTTTTCACACACATGAAAGCACATCACCAATTGTACTCACAGCCTCGATCCAGTGCTGGAAAGCCAGCTTGAGAGCCTTGCCGTCTCTGGATAAACCCTGACCCACCTGTTGCAAGCAAGCAACATGAGCAACAAAGGGGAAAAAAAAAGGTTTTCTGGTGAAGAAGAAAGAGGACATGAGGGACTTTTCTGTTTTCTATCTCAGGCAGTAATTGGGGCACCTTGGATGCATTGAGACTGACGCGGTTCCAGCGCGAGGCGGCGGTCTCCAGCTTGGGTTCGTCGAAGAAGGAGACGGTGCTGTGGCTGAGGCGCGCGAAGTCCAGCGCTTGCCACCTTCATTTATTGATCCGAAACAAAAAAAACAAAAAAAAAAAACTCTTTAGTTTCAGTTAAAACTTCCCCCCAAACCAAGCCTCAGTTAGAATTGATTTGGACACCCGTTACCATCAACAAGAACCAAATTAGGCATTTTATTGGGACACCAAAATCTCCAAGAAAGGAGGCACCTTTTCATGGAACAGTACATCAGGAACAAGAGGGGGGAAATTGTACTAACAAGGGAGGTTTTTTCGAGAAAGGGACCGCTCTCCTACACCAAATTAAACGGCAAGAAATCGTAGAGCCAAGGGAAGGATCTGAGAAAAAGAAGAATACCAGAGCTCCTCGACGACGACGGCGGAGTCGGCGAGCTTCCGGCGGGTCCGGTAGCTGCGGTAGACCTTCTGCAGCTTGGTGGCGGCGCCATTCTCGCCGCCGCTTCCCTCCACCAGCGGGGGAGACTCCAGCTTATCCGGGTCGAACCTCGGAGAAGCCAAGAAATCCATCCCCGCCACCGTAGGCGCCGCCGCCGCCGCCTCCACCTCCATTTGCTTTCAGGTTTTAGGAGAAGCACTCACTTGGAAGGAGCAATCAGTTGGTTGCGCTTGCGCGGCGTCTGCAGAGGAGCAGAGCAGGTGGGAATTTATCTGGGTAAACAAGCGAAACGAGGGAATAATTAAAGACGTTTAATCTGGAGGATCGAGAGAGAACGGAGACGAGGCCAGGGTAGTAGTCCACTACTGCATCTCATTCGCGGGAGCACAGATACGACGGCGACGACGAGTCAAGTCGTTGGCGCCACCTACCTGCTCTTGGTCCCTGTCCTGTTCCATGGCGGGTGGGTGGCGCCATTACTCTGCGCGCGGCTGGCCCACATGTCATTGAAAAATTAGCGAGTGTGGAGGTCTGCTGCCTGCTATGCTAATGGAAGACCGGGTCGAGTCGGGCACGCGGTTGTGGGGGCTGACTCGACGGCGGGGTCAGTCGCGCGCCGGAGCGTTAGACCCGGCCGGCACCACTGGTCGCTCTCGGCGCCGGTCGCCATCGTGGTCGTCGACGGACCACGCACCGTGCTGCGCGGTGGCTTGTCTCACTGCACTTGTTGTGAACTTGAATCGATCGCCCCAGTCGCTGTTGCTGTTGCATCCAGGATCTTGTGCTAGCGCTGAACACTGAACACCTCGCACGCATCCAACATCAAACATGTTGGCTTGGCTCCTCCATGTGTTTTGTCCGTTGTGCATCACGGTCGTCAAGTTTGACACGCGCTGAGAAACGATGGTAGACACGGAGTGCACCTACTCCGTGCACCTTCAGCAAAAACTATACTCTATACCATATTCGCTAGGAGAAATTTGAAGAAATCTGAATAAATTTATGAAAATGTAAACAGTTAAAACCAGCCGGGATCCGTGAATTTCGGCTGGTTTATCAACCAGCCGAACGGCGCACTATACCGGCAGGAGTAACAGTTAAGGCCCCGTTTAGATCCAAAATTTTTTGGATTTTGGCTCCCTGTAGCATTTCGTTTGTATTTGATAATTAGTGTCTAATTATGGACTAATTAGATTCAAAAGTTTGGTCTCGTGATTTCTCACCCAACCGTACAATTATTTTTTTTTCGTCTACATTTAGTACTCCATGCATGTATCGCAAGATTCGATGTGACAAATACTACGTAAAATTTTTTGCAATCTAAACATGCCCTAAGTACTAATGCCAGAGACACGCTACGCCTGAAGCAGCGGTTACATCTGCAGAGAGGCCGTTCAGGATAGGCACGAAGACTGCCATCGGTCGATGCAGTTGACTGCAAGAAGTCGAGCTGCAAACACACGCACCCAAGCCACATCAGAATCGCATCACGGCGTGCGAATAAAGAATGGTTCCGCCACGTTTTCAATTCCATCACGGTGGCCCGTGCGCAGTTGGGGGTTTGACGCTAGCGTCTACTAACAAAGTCGTACCTGCTCCCCCGGGAGGATTGGTCGATCAGTCCAAGCTGCCAACGGGACGACACAAATCTTATTATATGGTTCTACACGACTGGCACCTCTTCCTGGCAACTTTTGGCACCGATCTAGAAGCTGCTCATCTCTGCTGCACCAGCACCACCACTCACCGATCTTGAGGCACCCCTAGGCCCAAAAACCACTCTACCTCCGACACGTTTACGGAGCCAAACATGATCGTACTAGGCCTTTGCGTCAGAGCTGCCTGCCATCTCGTTTCCGCTCCGCTCGTGCAGATGTGCCTGCTTTTCTGTCCATATGTGCCAGAAATTAAGGGAAAGCACCATTATTTAGCACCATCATAGTAGTCAGTCTATTCGTTTGGTCGTAAACGGTTTATCGAACAAAGTATTTTTCTTTCACACCAAATTAGTCAGCAGTAATAATTCACGATCGTATCAGCACCAGCCGAACAGGCTGTTAATCTTCGTCTGATATTATTAGATCTAGCTATCTTTCCTGGCAGGGACCGGTATATTATTGGCAATCCGTCCAGAATCTAAAGTATCTCAAGCTAATCTAATGGGCGTTCATTGGGGTTGGCCGGTTTGGGACCAACGAGCCACGTTCCTCCGGCCACTCTCATTTATTGGACTGTATTTTAATAGCTAAGCTAGTGCATTTGAATTGTCGACATTTTAAAAATATAAGTTAAAAAATAAAAAGGCATTTAAACTGTATATTTAACGCCTTAATTTGTTGAATTAATTTTGAGCCCTACTTCAATTTTCCGTTCCCTTAGTTGCCATTTCCGTTAATTGACCGCTAAGTTGGTGTGGTTGTTCCAGACTTAAAAACAAATAATACTAGCTACAACTGATTAGATGTAAGACATACTGCTAAGCAATTGATATGCAACCAATAATGCAAGAGAATCTATTTGTAAACAATAAATGTGAATAGGCTTTGTTTGTATATCTCTTAGTTCCGCTGGATGTTTTGCATAAGAGCCACTCTTGATGTGTATTAATGAAATTGGATGCTGTTTTAACATTTCAACAGAATTCTCACTTCTTCTAAATGCATATGTACCCACCACAACAAACACCACTTAGCGTTAATGGCCACCAAAGGCGGATAATTTTGGTTGGACATGATCAACTTGTTAATCCAATTGCCAAATTGATACGTGTCTGCTTGTGCCGGAAACACGCCATTGCTTATTAGTTATTACTTCATGACAGTAAGTATGTATGCACTAAAAATGTAATGTGATTATGTGCACATGAACAGAGAAGATGAAAGATCAATCATATGTGTTAATACATGTGGAAACACACATATATAGCTGATGAGTCACGAAAAGCAAGATATATGCAGCATAATGTACACAAATCTCGCTGGAGAGGTCATCCCGGCCACGGTTTGCGGCAGGAGGTGGGTGCCGAGGGAGAGGAAGACATGTAGGTGGTGTTGTCAAGGCCATCTATTCGCACAGAGGAAGACCGGACCTCCGAGGAGCGGCGGCTCTGCATGATCAGGAACGGGAAGCACGGTGGATGGATCGGAGGAGCTCCATTGCGATCTGGGTGAAGATCGTGAAAGGAAACAGGACGGAGCAGGGGAGGAAAGATGGGGTTGGTTATTCTTACCAGCTGCGCATAAGTGGTGGCGGAGCTTGAGTTGAGCACATGGCTGCTCCGCACCGGCGGTGTGGTAGAACAGCGGCGGCGCGGCGCGGTTTTAGTGTGAGGAAGATGAGGGAGTTTGCGGCGTAAGCGGACCAAAGGTGGGCGGGAGCGAAAGAGGGAAGGAGATATGGGCCAACTACGGGCCAAAAGGAGGAAGAAGCAGACCACCGGGTGGAGGAAAATGGGGTGGGCTTGGCCCTAGTGCGGGAAATGAAGGAGAGAAGAGGAAGAGGATGGGTCGGAAGTTAGGCTTGGGCGAGCAGAAGAAAAAAGGTAGAAGGACTATGGGCCATTATTGAAAATCGGCCCAGAGTTGATTGTGATTTGTGAAGTTGGAAGTTAATTTGAGAATTTTTCAAGGATCGGAAATATTCAAATTTGAACTAGATTCAAATTGAATAGGATTTGTTCAAATTGAATAGGATTTGGATGGGTCGAGGGTTTAGAGAAAAGCAATGCACTTTTGTGTATGTTCAAATTCAAAAATATTTAAACTATATTCTTGGGTGAGAGTATGCTCTCAAGGCACGATAATTTCTGATTTCGTGGAGAACATGCTCTAGGTGGTTGTTATTCTATTCCCACTTTACCGTGGGGTGGTTGTTATTCTGTCCTGGGAACGCGAAACTGTAACACCCCGGTGTTATGCCTGCATTTAGTCACTACAAATCATACATATCATGCATCATCAAGCATCCTAATCATACATGCCTAATCATGTAAATAACAATTGAAACACTGCTTCGAAACATTTGAAACATGTGTGAAACCTGAATGTTGCATACACCTGTTTAAGAGTTGTTTTGCCCTGATTTTGCTTGCTAGGTTAGTGAAACATGTTTGGCTACTATTGTAAATCATCTAGCAATGTTTAGTTCAATTTTTGGAGCAAAGTTTGTATTCAAATTAATTCAAAATTTGGCTTCAAAAATAAATTCCCAAAAATTAGGGTTTTGAGTTAAACGTGGACTTTGACCTTACAATTCAAAATCTAGAAAGAATTTGGCTGTGGTCATAAAAGCAAAGTTGTAGAAAATTAAATTCTAATCAACTTTTATTTTGGGTACATTTTCAAAAGATGTCATTTTCTTGCTCAAAATAATATTTGAAAGATGGCATGTAAAAATTCCTTGAAAATATATTTGGAAAAGGACTTTTTCTCCGTCGCGGGCCGCCGCCTCACTTCTGGCCCACGATCGAAGTCAGCCCACCTGACCCTCCAGCGCCTCGCCTTTGCTTGGCCCGGCCAGTATGGCCATGCCAGCCTGGGCCTGCCTCCAGCTTACGCACTTCACGCCGCTGCAGGCCTGATCATGGAGAGCTTGCCCGGCGTGGCGGCCATCGCTGCCGTCGACGGCCACGCAGCAGATGCTCATGCCTGCTACCACGCGCCCGCGCTACGCCACTGCCGAAGCCGGTGGCGCTCATTGGCTCATTCATGCCGCCTCTCCTCTCCGCCAGAGCCGAGCGCGCTAACTCGCCCGCCATGGCATACCACGCACCGGCCGCGAATTCGCCGTGGCTCCTCCACCTCGCCCAGCAAGCACGCGCCCAAGCTCCGCCTCGCTCTCCTTCAAGTCGTGCTCGCGTTTGCGCTGATCGCCGAGCCCAGTAGCGCCTCAAGCCCCCCATCGACGGCCATGGCGCCCGCTGTGCTCTACCGCCATGGAAGTCACCTTCCTTCTCTTCTCCGGCCACTTAGCTACCCTACCACATTCGCCATCTTCTCACACATCGCATCGTCCGTCCGCTTAGCTCGCCTTGTCTCGGCCGGAGATGGCCGCCGCCTCGTGGTCGAAGCCAGGTATTGCCTGGCCATAATATAGCGGCTGGCGTGGCCTCTGCCTCGACCAACCCGGCCGGTAGCCGAGTGGAAGTGGGCGGCATACTATTTGGCCATCTCCC